AATTATATGTTGCGTGTTGTAGAGTCGGGAAACCAGACAATCTCTATATCTCCACAGACAATGGAACAACAAAAATATCGTATACCCACAAGCATTGTGAAATTAAACATATTAGAAACGTGCACTTTCTCTTTTCTTTCTTTCCCATTTAACCAGACTGAGCCACAGCAACGCAGGTACTGCTAGTAGTGTAATAAAACCAATAACAATATGGTGGGAGGAAGAATGAAGGCGAATAAGATGGGTTTTTTTATTTTCCTACCACAGACGTGGCCAGACATTTACAATGCTAACCAGCCTATATACATTTTCTGTCCTCCATGGACAGGGTTAGGGATGTGTTAAACATATAGTTCAGGGATTTATTGAACAATCAACCACAGAAGGTGATTCGGTGTTTTTAAAATGCTAAGCTAACCTACATACGTAAATACATAGATGCACAGATCTACATATGCCCTGCATAAAGTGTTGGAAGTGTCATTAATGTGCATTTTCAAAGGTGAAATGCAGTTCTGATCAGCTTCCATATGTACTTTATACACATACATACACACACACACACATACATATACGTACATATACATTCATATACACACACGCAAGCATTTACATATATCTGTCTCTTTTACTCTGACAGGGTGAGATAGCTGACAAGAGAAACTAGTGTGCAATTAAGAACTTAACCACTGAAGGTGATTAAGATGCTTTTACAAGCTCAGGTTATATAGTTACATTACATGGTTAATCTAGGGTACAAGTCCAATACTGTATAACATCAAGTGTTCCAGTACTCGTATAGTAGTTACAGAGTTCAGCATACCTCAGCCCAGGAGGGCGAAAGTCAGACAATATGGGACATTCTACAATATAATGTTGAAGGGAGTGCATGTTCTCTCTTTCACAAAGTTGACACATTGTGTACTCGACATTTGGGTTTTGAGAAAGCTGCCAGATACATCTATATCCCAGGCGTATTCTGGCCACTATAACATCACATTGCCGGGTTCTTGTTCTATTAGTCCCATATGTGAATGTCTCCTCATGATATCTATCATAATAATTAATGCTACAACTTTCAGGTCTTTGTGAATTTGTTAGGTCGATGAGATGTTCATTAGATATTTGTTTAAGTATTGGAGGAGTGAGGGATGGCTGGCTGGATATGGTAGCTCACACTCGCGGAGTTCTGAGTGTGTTGATGGTGAATGTATATAGTGTGTGACAGTGCATAGTGTGTAAATATGTTGTAAATATACACAAAGAACATGAATCATTGGTGTGAATAACAGTATAGTGGGAGGAGGAATGATGGCGAGTAAGATGTTGGAGGAGTGAGGGAGGGGTAGCTGGGTGTGGCAGCTCACACTCGCAGAATTCTGAGTGTTGATGGTGAATGTATATAGTGTGTGACTGTATAGTGTGTACATATGTTGTAAATATACATAAATGAACATGAAACATTAGATATACGAGCAATATATGTGGACACATTTGTGATGCATGTAACACAGTGTCTTGGGACAGTACGGATGTTCTACTGCCATAATATTGTGTACGTGTTTATTATACATAGGATTGGCAAGAAAAACAAAACAAATGTATTTGGAAATGCATGCAAAAAATTAACAACAAATTATTTGTGGCAACTCGTGCATGTTGAAGCAGGCGTGTGGCTACCATAGGGAGTCTACGCCACAGACGACTGCCCCAGGGAGTCTACGCCACGGACGACTGCCCCAGGGAGTCTACGCCATGGGCGACCACCAAATCTTGACATCACACGCCATTTTCCAGACCCCATTGTGGCCAAAGTAAGTAAAATTTTTTTTTTTTTTTTTACATATCTGTGATCAGGGAAAGGTATTTAACATTTTCAAAAACAAAAAAATTTGCCAAGAATTTATTTCCTGTGCACAGGCATATTTGGAGCCTGAGCAGCACAGTGGTTAAGTAGAATAGCACTTATAGCAACGTCAAAGTGAAGTACTACATCTATTCTATTTATAAGATCTAGCACTGCAAAAGTGGCATATATAATTAAACCAAAACGTTAAGGACTTTCCTATAACAAAACCTTAACCAAATCATATATAAAAGAGGTCTCTTTCATTTTAGCATTGTACTACATTGAAAAGTATAGTACAGTACAGTACTAGCAAAATCAATGACTTCGAGTTACTTGTGTTATCCGACTGCCTTAACCCAAATATGAGTACAGTACAGAGGTACCTCGGAATGCGAGTGTCCCTGTATGCGAGTTTTTCGGAATACGAGCAGGATTTCCTCGGAAAATATGTCTCGAAACGCGAGGGTTACCTCGGGACGCGAGTTTGTTGATACGCGTACAGGCCGACCTAGCGCGTGGTGGTTCGGCGTTTGCCCCTCCGCCCCTCGGTTTACCATTGTCTCGCGCCCAGTGACTACCCTACATCAATTCTTCTCGCGGATTTTCAGTGTTTTGTTGGATTTTTGGTGATTTGACTATACAATTTGTTATTATATATCTCACCATGGGTCCCAAGAAAGCCAGTGGTAAGGATAAAGGCCAGAAAGCCCATGCAAGGATGACAATGGAGGAGAAACAAGAGATCATTCGGAAGCATGAGAACGGTACACAGGTTGTTGAACTTTGTAGGCAGTACAACAAAGCCACATCAACAATATGCACTATACTTAAGAAGAAAAATGAGATTATGAGTGCTAAAGTGGCAAAAGGAGTCAGAACAATAACGTAACAAAGACCACAAATACTTGAAGAAGTGGAAAAGTTGTTATTAATTTGGATACACGACAAGGAGTTAAGGGGTGATAGTGTTTCGGAGACCATTATTTGTGAGAAAGCCAGGGTATTGCACGAAGACCTTCTAAAGAATACCCCTGCAACGAGTGATGCAGATACGAAAGAGTTTAAGGCAAGCAGGGACTGGTTTGAAAAATTCAGAAGGAGAAGTGGTATCCATAGTGTTACAAGGCATGGGGAGGCAGCCAGCTCAGACAAACCAGCCGCTGAACAATTTATTGAGGAATTTAAAGAGTTTGCAGAGGCTGAGGGATACCTACCGCAACAAGTGTTTAATTGTGACGAAACAGGATTGTTTTGGAAAAGAATGCCTAAGAGGACATACATTACCAAGGAGGAAAAATCCTTGCCCGGACACAAGCCTATGAAAAATAGGTTTACGCTTGTGCTGTGTTCAAATGCGAGTGGCGATTTGAAAATTAAACCCTTGCTAGTGTATCATTCTGAAAATCCAAGGGTTTTCAAACAATATAAGGTGCAGAAAACCCATTTATGTGTGATGCAGAAGGCTAATAAAAAAGCATGGGTGACTAGGCTTATTTTTTCGGAGTGGGTGAATGAAGTGCTGTGCCCTGCCATAGAAAAATATCTGCAGGAGAAACATTTGCCACTCAAAGCCGTGCTTCTCCTCGACAATGCTCCTGCTCATCCTCCAGGCTTGGAAGATGATTTGTTGCCCAGATACAATAAATTCCTCACAGTTAAATTCCTTCCTCCTAACACCACTCCTCTAATTCAGCCTATGGACCAGAAAATCATAGCGAATTTTAAGAAACTTTATGAAAGGGCACTTTTCCGGAAATGTTTTGAAGTGACTGAAGCCACAAACCTCACCCTCAAAGAGTTCTGGAAACAGCATTTTAACATTTGTAGTGCTTTAAAACTCGTTGACAAAGCCTGGCAAGAAGCGACTCAAGGAACCCTGATCTCTGGCTGGAGAAAATTGTGGCCTGAATGTGTGAGAGAACTAGACTTTGAGGGGTTTGAGCCTTTAAATGATGCATCTATTGTTGAGGAAATTGTTAAGTCTAGGCCAGCAAATGGGCTTGGAATTGGATGGTGATGTGGAGGAGTTGGTGGAAGAGCACAACGAAGAACTGACCACCGAAGAACTCCAAGCCCTTCAACAGGAACAGCAAGACAACGCAGCGGATGATTCTACAGTGGAGGAGGATGAGGCAGTAGCGAATGTCCCTTCTGCAGTAATTAAGAAGGTGTGTCAGATGTGGGAAGAGATTAAAACAATTGTTGAAAAGACTCACCCAGAGAAAGCTGTAATAGGCCGTTGCCTTAATCTTTTCAATGACAATGTGATACCTTACTACAGAGACAGCTTGCGAAGAAGGGAAAAGCAAGCTTCCATGGACAGATTTGTGGTGAGGAAATCGAGCAGTGAGTCTCAACCAGGACCTAGTGGCACTCAGATAAAACGTCCCAGGGAGAGCACACCAGAAAGGTCCTCACTGCCTGATGTGATAATGGAAGGGGACTCCCCTTCCAAATACTGTACAGTAGTAACTCCTCTCCTCCTCCCCCCTCCTCACCATCTTCCATACGCCTACAGCATTCAACAGCAAGGTAAGTAATAACTTGAACATAGTTTTGTAGGTTTATTTAGATGAATTAGGTATACAAATTTAGTTTGATGTGGGGTTTTTGGGGTAGTCAGGAACGGATTAATTCATTTCCCTTTATTTCTTATGGGGAAATTAGCTTCGGAATACGAGGCGTCTCCAGGAACCAATTAAACTCTTAAACTGAGGTATGCCTGTAGTCTCAAGCAAATAACTAACCAGTACCACCATAACAGGTCATACATGCGCCATTAATAATAGTTATTAAAGAGCACTGTATAGAGGAATAACATTTAAGAGAAGGCAATGGACCGGGTCTCCCAGTGTTCAAAACCAAAGCCTCCATATCCTAATAGAAACTTGTACACCACACACACACACCTTATCCCAAGCTCACACAATCCAAAACACATCACACACAGTATATCAAATCTCTACATAATCTATATGGCACACCTTGCACATACAAATTACATTTCCTCATACTCTATAACACACCATCCACGTCTTATCTTAACCTTGCATAATCTACAGATACATTGCACTACTAATGCACCACACACATCCTAATACATCACACAACATGCAATATGAAACCAACTCCACACAGCCCTCATACTGACCTGCCATATGTTGTATCACCAAGGATATAAACAGTGAAGCCTAGTTGTAGTGTTATTGCACGACACTGCACCAGCGTCTCCTAATAACTCGTCGGGAAACTGAAGTGCAACCTGAAGAAAAAACCAGCGTTAAATGTAATAAATCACCATTTTCTAGGCGAGTCCCGGAGGCTTCCCGGAGCTATCCAGGCTGATATGTATATCCCTAAACTCTGGCATCAGTCAGTGTAAATGGAGTTCTAAGCCTACCTTACCTTACCTTGAGGTGCTTCCGGGGCTTAGTTCACAACCTCAACCACAACCTGTTCATGGTGGTTCACAACCATGAACAACACCTACCCTCACAAGGTGGTGGTGGTTCACAACCATGAACAACACCTACCCTCACAAGGTGGTGGTTCACAACCATGAACAACACCTACCCTCACAAGGTGGTGGTGGTTCACAACCATGAACAACACCTACCCTCACAAGGTGGTGGTGGTTCACAACCATGAACAACACCTACCCTCACAAGGTGGTGGTGGATCACAACCATGAACAACACCTACCCTCACGAGGTGGTGGATCACAACCTTGAACAACACCTACCCTCACAAGGTGGTGGTGGTTCACAACTATGAACAACACCTACCCTCACAAGGTGGTGGATCACAACCATGAACAACACCTACCCTCACAAGGTGGTGGATCACAACCTTGAACAACACCTACCCTCACGAGGTGGTGGTTCACAACCATGAACAACAACTACCCTCACAAGGTGGTGGATCACAACCATGAACAACACCTACCCTCACAAGGTGGTGGTTCACAACCATGAACAACACCTACCCTCACGAGGTGGTGGTTCACAACCATGAACAACACCTACCCTCACAAGGTGGTGGTGGTGGTCACAACCATGAACAACACCTACCCTCACAAGGTGGTGGTTCACAACCATGAACAACACCTACCCTCACAAGGTGGTGGTTCACAACCATGAACAACACCTACCCTCACAAGTTGGTGGTTCACAACCATGAACAACACCTACCCTCACGAGGTGGTGGTTCACAACCATGAACAACACCTACCCTCACGAGGTGGTGGTTCACAACCATGAACAACAACTACCCTCACAAGGTGGTGGTTCACAACCATGAACAACACCTACCCTCACAAGGTGGTGGTTCACAACCATGAACAACACCTACCCTCACAAGTTGGTGGTTCACAACCATGAACAACAACTACCCTCACAAGGTGGTGGTGGTTCACAACCATGAACAACACCTACCCTCACAAGGTGGTGGTTCACAACCATGAACAACACCTACCCTCACAAGGTGGTGGTGGTTCACAACCATGAACAACACCTACCCTCACGAGGTGGTGGTTCACAACCATGAACAACACCTACCCTCACGAGGTGGTGGTTCACAACCATGAACAACACCTACCCTCACGAGGTGGTGGTTCACAACCATGAACAACAACTACCCTCACAAGGTGGTGGTTCACAACCATGAACAACACCTACCCTCACGAGGTGGTGGTTCACAACCATGAACAACACCTACCCTCACAAGGTGGTGGTTCACAACCATGAACAACACCTACCCTCACAAGGTGGTGGATCACAACCATGAACAACACCTACCCTCACAAGGTGGTGGTTCACAACCATGAACAACACCTACCCTCACAAGTTGGTGGTTCACAACCATGAACAACACCTACCCTCACAAGGTGGTGGTTCACAACCATGAACAACACCTACCCTCACAAGTTGGTGGTGGTTCACAACCATGAACAACAACTACCCTCACAAGGTGGTGGATCACAACCATGAACAACACCTACCCTCACAAGGTGGTGGTTCACAACCATGAACAACACCTACCCTCACAAGGTGGTGGTTCACAACCATGAACAACACCTACCCTCACAAGGTGGTGGTTCACAACCATGAACAACACCTACCCTCACAAGGTGGTGGTTCACAACCATGAACAACACCTACCCTCACAAGGTGGTGGTTCACAACCATGAACAACACCTACCCTCACAAGGTGGTGGTGGTTCACAACCATGAACAACACCTACCCTCACAAGGTGGTGGTTCACAACCATGAACAACACCTACCCTCACAAGGTGGTCATGGTTCACAACCATGAACAACACCTACCCTCACAAGGTGGTGGTTCACAACCATGAACAACACCTACCCTCACAAGGTGGTGGTGGTTCACAACCATGAACAACACCTACCCTCACAAGGTGGTGGTGGTTCACAACCATGAACAACACCTACCCTCACAAGGTGGTCGTGGTTCACAACCATGAACAACACCTACCCTCACAAGGTGGTGGTGGTTCACAACCATGAACAACACCTACCCTCACAAGGTGGTGGTTCACAACCATGAACAACACCTACCCTCACAAGGTGGTCGTGGTTCACAACCATGAACAACACCTACCCTCACAAGGTGGTGGTTCACAACCATGAACAACGCCTACCCTCACAAGTTGGTGGTTCACAACCATGAACAACACCTACCCTCACAAGGTGGTGGTGGTTCACAACCATGAACAACACCTACCCTCACAAGGTGGTGGTTCACAACCATGAACAACACCCACCCTCACAAGTTGGTGGTGGTTCACAACCATGAACAACACCTACCCTCACAAGGTGGTGGTGGTTCACAACCATGAACAACACCTACCCTCACAAGGTGGTCGTGGTTCACAACCATGAACAACGCCTACCCTCACAAGTTGGTGGTTCACAACCATGAACAACACCTACCCTCACAAGGTGGTGGTTCACAACCATGAACAACACCTACCCTCACAAGGTGGTGGTGGTGGTGGTTCACAACCATGAACAACACCTACCCTCACAAGGTGGTGGTGGTTCACAACCATGAACAACACCTACCCTCACAAGGTGGTGGTTCACAACCATGAACAACACCTACCCTCACAAGGTGGTGGATCACAACCATGAACAACACCTACCCTCACAAGGTGGTGGTTCACAACCATGAACAACACCTACCCTCACAAGGTGGTGGTTCACAACCATGAACAACGCCTACCCTCACAAGTTGGTGGTTCACAACCATGAACAACACCTACCCTCACAAGGTGGTGGTGGATCACAACCATGAACAACACCTACCCTCACAAGGTGGTGGTTCACAACCATGAACAACACCCACCCTCACAAGGTGGTGGTTCACAACCATGAACAACACCTACCCTCACAAGGTGGTGGTTCACAACCATGAACAACACCTACCCTCACGAGGTGGTGGTTCACAACCATGAACAACACCTACCCTCACAAGGTGGTGGTTCACAACCATGAACAACACCTACCCTCACAAGGTGGTGGATCACAACCATGAACAACACCTACCCTCACAAGGTGGTGGTGGTTCACAACCATGAACAACACCTACCCTCACAAGGTGGTGGTTCACAACCATGAACAACACCTACCCTCACGAGGTGGTGGTTCACAACCATGAACAACACCTACCCTCACAAGGTGGTGGTTCACAACCATGAACAACACCTACCCTCACAAGGTGGTGGTTCACAACCATGAACAACACCTACCCTCACAAGGTGGTGGTTCACAACCATGAACAACACCTACCCTCACAAGGTGGTGGTGGTTCACAACCATGAACAACACCTACCCTCACAAGGTGGTGGTTCACAACCATGAACAACACCTACCCTCACAAGGTGGTGGTTCACAACCATGAACAACACCTACCCTCACAAGGTGGTGGTGGTTCACAACCATGAACAACACCTACCCTCACAAGGTGGTGGTTCACAACCATGAACAACACCTACCCTCACGAGGTGGTGGTTCACAACCATGAACAACACCTACCCTCACAAGGTGGTGGTGGTGGTTCACAACCATGAACAACACCTACCCTCACGAGGTGGTGGTTCACAACCATGAACAACACCTACCCTCACAAGGTGGTGGTTCACAACCATGAACAACACCTACCCTCACGAGGTGGTGGTTCACAACCATGAACAACACCTACCCTCACGAGGTGGTGGTTCACAACCATGAACAACACCTACCCTCACAAGGTGGTGGTTCACAACCATGAACAACACCTACCCTCACAAGGTGGTGGTTCACAACCATGAACAACACCTACCCTCACAAGGTGGTGGTGGTTCACAACCATGAACAACACCTACCCTCACGAGGTGGTGGTTCACAACCATGAACAACACCTACCCTCACAAGGTGGTGGTTCACAACCATGAACAACACCTACCCTCACAAGGTGGTGGTTCACAACCATGAACAACACCCACCCTCACAAGGTGGTGGTTCACAACCATGAACAACACCTACCCTCACAAGGTGGTGGTTCACAACCATGAACAACACCTACCCTCACAAGGTGGTGGTTCACAACCATGAACAACACCTACCCTCACAAGGTGGTGGTTCACAACCATGAACAACACCTACCCTCACAAGGTGGTGGTTCACAACCATGAACAACACCTACCCTCACAAGGTGGTGGTTCACAACCATGAACAACACCTACCCTCACAGGTGGTGGTTCAGGTGGTGGTTCACAACCATGAACAACACCTACCCTCACAAGGTGGTGGTTCACAACCATGAACAACACCTACCCTCACAAGGTGGTGGTTCACAACCATGAACAACACCTACCCTCACGAGGTGGTGGTTCACAACCATGAACAACACCTACCCTCACAAGGTGGTGGTTCACAACCATGAACAACACCTACCCTCACAAGGTGGTGGTTCACAACCATGAACAACACCTACCCTCACAAGGTGGTGGTTCACAACCATGAACAACACCTACCCTCACAAGGTGGTGGTTCACAACCATGAACAACACCTACCCTCACAAGGTGGTGGTTCACAAGGTGGTGGTTCACAACCATGAACAACACCTACCCTCACAAGGTGGTGGTTCACAACCATGAACAACACCTACCCTCACAAGGTGGTGGTTCACAACCATGAACAACACCTACCCTCACAAGGTGGTGGTTCACAACCATGAACAACACCTACCCTCACAAGGTGGTGGTTCACAACCATGAACA